AGTTCTCTTCGGCATGACGACGGACTTACACCTCACCATTGTTGATGCGACGACTACGCCGCCAACAGTCGATACCCGTCGATTAAGCTGGGCGACGTCGCTGTTCTACTTTGGAATGCTGGCGGGTTTGTATCCCATGACATTCGCTCTTCAAAGATTCAACATCGGTCGTGTTCTCGGCGGCGTGGTCGTTGTCTGGGCTGCTATTTGCATGCTCACTGCTGCGGTGACATCCTACCAGGGTTTATACGTGCAGCGATTCTTCCTCGGTTTCGTGGAGAGCATTATCCCCACTGGGTTCATGTGTATTGTCTCGGGGTACTATACGCAATCTGAGCAGTCGCTGCGACAGAGTTGGTGGTTCTCGTCGACGGGACTGTTCACCATTATTGGTGGAGCGATGAACTATGGTTTTGCGCAGATTACGGGTGGTGGGTTGAAGAGATGGCAGTACATCTATCTCCTCGCTGGATCTCTCACCTTTCTTTTTGGACTGTTCTGCTTCATCATGCCGAATTCGCCTGTGTCAGCTTGGTTCCTCACTTCTGAAGAACGCTTCGCTGCTGTTGAGCGCTTGAGACACGGACAAACCGGCGTTCGCTGCACCAAGTTCAAAAGCTCACAGCTCAAAGAAGCCATACTCGACGTCAAGATCTGGCTCGTCGCACTTATGATGGCATCAGCATACACCGTCAACGGTGCCGTAAGCGGTTTCGGACCCCTCATCGTCTCAACCTTCGGCTGGAGCACCCTGCACTCCATCCTGTTCCAATTCCCCCTCGGCGGACTGTGTTTCATCGTGATCCTCCTCACAGGCTGGCTGGGCTCTAAGTTCACCAACATCCGCATCTTCATGCTCATCTTTACATGTCTCCCCGTCATCGCAGGCTGTGCCATCATCTGGAAGAGCGAGTGGAGTTACCGCGCTGCTGCACCGGTGGTGGGATACTCGATTACAGGATTCTTTGGGGGGACGGTGAGTCTGATAATCACTATTGGAATGTCGAATGTGGCGGGTCATACGAAGAAGAGTTTTATGGCTGCTACGATATTTGTGGCGTATTGTGTGGGAAATATTGTTGGGCCGCAGCTTGTTTGGAGTCAGACGAAGAAGGATCACTATCCTGCTCTTTGGCTGGGGCTGATTATCTGGTAAGTCTTTTTGACATTGTTCTTCGTGGTTACTAACTGTTTTAGTTACATTATTTGTATTTGTGCGTCGACTACGCTGTACTTTGTTCTGAAGAACGAGAACAAGAGGAGGGATGCTTTGGGGTTGGGAGATGAGAGTGAGAGAGCAAAGTTGGCGTTCCAGGACTTGACTGATAAGGAGAACCCTTACTTTCGTTACGTTTACTGATAGAATGGGGCATCAATAGACAGGGATAGAGAAAAGTTGCGGAGGGTCTAGACGGGCAGTAATACACGACAGAAGTTGCTCAGATACGCAGTCTTGAGCGAACACCTAGCGACATGCAGCAGTGAACACTGAACAGTCTGTCCATAAATCATGGCATATCATTAACTACCGACAAGGTATGGAGTATCTCATAAACAATCCCATTCCCTCCCCGTTCGGGGGATCTTATCATTCCTGATCTAAACAATCAACTCTCATGTATACATATCACAAACGACAGCCTTTGTCTTTTTGAGTTTACCCTCTACAGCTTCGAGGGGGTCTCATTGTGGTTCTTGATCTCAACGATCAACTTTCCAGTGTTGATACCCTTGTAAAGGTCGACCAGAGCCTGCTCAGCAACCTTGAGACCACCGCGAACAACAGTCTCGGTCTTCTTGAGCTTACCCTCCGCGATCCACTGAGCCAGCTCAGCACGGGCAGCGGGGAAGTCCTTGACGTGGTCGAGGACGATGAAGCCCTGCATTCGGATGCGCATGGTGACGATCTGGGAGAATGCTCGGGGGCCCTGGGGCTTGGCGGCGTTGTACTGGCTGACGAGACCGCACTCGATGAAGCGAGCGTGTTCCTTTGCTCGCATGAGACACATGTCGAGGATATCGCCACCGACTAAGATATGTTAGTTCTGTCATGTTTCAAGATTCGAGGTGAGACTGACCATTGTCGTAGTAGACATCGATATAGTCCTTTGTCGCCTCAGCGAACTTCTCCTTAAAGTCATCCGCCTTGTAGTTCAGCGCAACATCGAAGCCCAACTCCTCAGTGAGCCACTTGCACTTATCATCACCACCCGCAATACCCACGACCCTCGCACCCTTGAGCTTAGCGATCTGGCCCGCCACACTTCCGGTAGCACCAGCAGCGCCCGACACGACGACGAGCTCACCGGGCTTAGGGTCAGCGATCTTGGACATGCCAACCCAAGCAGTCAAGCTGGTCATTCCAAGAGCAGAAAGCATGTCCTTGGGGTCCTGGAGGCCGGGGTACAAAGACGCAGGCTCGAAACGACCTTCGGGGAGGATAGCGAATTCGGTCCAGCCTGTTAGGGCGGAGACGATGTCGCCCTCCTTGGCCTGCTTGCTCTTTGAGGCGAGGACGCGGCATGCGCATGAACCACGCATGGTTTGGCCGATCTGAACGGGGGGGAGATAAGATCGCATGTCTGGGGTTGTTAGTGGCGACGAGAGGTTACTGAGAAGGGGGAGGTATACCTCGGAGCCAGCCTCGCATGGCGGGGTCGAGGGATAGATAGAGGGTCTCAACGAGGATTTGACCATCTTGGAGATCAGCTGGTGTGGGAGCTGGAGATGTCTTTTGGGTAAAGGTCTGGCCAGGGATGATGTCGGTGGTGGGACGCTCGGCGAGCACGATGGAGAGGTTATCACGGGCCATTGTGAAACAGTTGTGATGGTGTTGTTTACTTGGTGTATGCAGGGTTGGTTGGTGCTGGGGTAAGGTAGTGTTGATGCTGGTGTTGGTGTAAGGTGGTTGTGTTGTGGAATGTTGAGCAGCAGGTTTGTGTCTCTCAAAGTTGTAAGACAGTAGGTCGATCTTTCCAGTATTTATACCAGTAGCAAGTGTATCTTTTTTTTTCACGATGATAAACACAGAGCGTATCACACTTCTTTTCGTCCTGTGAATAAGTAAACAAAAAAGAATCTAGTTAGTTAGTAGTTCGGATCAGTCTCAACAATCCGGGGACTCAGGCCTTTTAGTACCTCACTTTTTCACTCACGGTCCTTTGAGCAGACAGCTAAGTTAGCACATTCTCTAGTGCGGCATGTCTTGTCTCTCTGGGGTTGTTATCTCCGTGAGGTTTAGAGCGGTGTCTGGGTCAGCTCTCCCACTGCCAACTGAGAAAAAGGCGCTAGGACGCGGGACGCTATTCCCATGAGGACATATCCCCGTCAAGTGTAAAACTGTTCGGCACCGGCGCCCTCGGGGATCGACCGGCGGTGGGGAACGCACCGGCCGCCAGAAAGAAAAAAGCTGGGGAGGATGTGATTCAGCTCTGTCCATGTTGAGAAAACGTGTCCGGTCGTAAGCAGCAGTGCAGTGCCGAGGTTCGGACGCTTCGCCTTAGGGGGTAATTGGGGCCTTGATTGAAACTCAGCTTTCATGCTGGGCGTCCAATGGTGCGTCACTATGCCATTTTGCAGTTTATTTTTATTTTTTTGGCTCTCCCAATTCCGTCTCTTGTTTTGTTCTGTCTTGGTAATCCCTCCGACGGACAGACTCAAAACCTCGCTATCCGTCGGTGCCGTATTTGAAACTGCGTCCGGAGGATTCGTAATACTGGACGTGTATGTACCTCATGTGATTGGTATTCGAAGACACCGGTAGAGATGACGTTTGTTTAAGACGCAAGCCTCGGGACCCCGCTGGACGTACATACGTTTGGCCGAAAGGTTATAACGATGGGGATCTTTGGAGGCGGTAATGGTAAACGCTTCGCTTCGCTTCCGGACCCGATCTCTCGGCCGAAGTGACATGGATTGTCATCGCCAATCAATGGGCAGACTCGGCAGTTGAAGGGACTATAATGCAGGTAATATCATAGCCAAGTCACGGCTGTGTATTTGTGGGTGGTTGTAAGCACTCTCTTCCTCCTTCTTGGGTCATCTTGAGAGTCGACATGGTCGTGCTTCGTCTTGTAGCATCCGGGCGATAGTTCAATGTCAAGTTATTCTCCGATCTGATCTGCATTAAACGAGAGGCACATTCATGCATGATGTCATTCCTTTCATCCTGAACATTACTCAAATGTCTTGATAGCCCCATGTGTTCTTCCAGCAATACACGGTCAGAATTGAGGTCCGACGCCGTTGTAAGTTGTCTCCGAACATACTCAATTGAAGTGGCTAGAGTAAACGGATTTCAGAGCCTCCAAGTCCGCCTCAGCATTGAACTCTCAACCACTCTCAGGCTTTAATTGCCGTTTACGGACACACGGCGTCTGAGGTTGCATTGCGTCCGCTTTGCAGCCGAGACCGGCACCTTGAGCCCACTGTTCTCCCCTCAAAGTTCCGGTCACTTTTTTTAATACCTCTACAGAACTCTAAAATGTGATCGGACATATACCCATTGTCAGGGCTTTGAAGCGGTCATGAAAACTCACCGTTCTGGTATCATGATGAGGCTGGCGTCTACGAGCTGGTTGAATACGACTCTGCTGGAGTGTCTTGAAGACTTATGCATCCGTAAAATCGCACCGTCAGTTCACAAGGGGAGGCCTTAAAACTAACCACTTCTTTTCTATAGGTAGAAAGGGCTCAGGTCGGTTTGGGTAAACTTGGAATAATTTACAAAGCCTTGAGGCCAGTTTATTTTGCCACTCTGATTCAATTCTTTGGAGGTAGTCCTCGCGTCTAATATGTACTTGAAGAAGAAACTATACTCCCATCTCACATCATCATTCAGTGACACGTTCTTTCAGTACTCAAGTATCTCATCAACAAGTTCCCGGTCAAAGCAGCCAGCCGCCCAACCTACACTTGCCGCCAAACACTCCAGCACATGAACGCGCCACATAATTCTGATACACAACTCTCGCCAGCTCAACAAGGCTTACACCAACAACTTAAAAGTTAGAGCTAGCCTTGTACTGAGCCCCAGCAGTAACGCCAACATTCTTAACGACAACACTCTTTCCTGTGCTGCTAGTAACCTTGACATCAACAGAAGTCTTGCCAAAGCCAGCAGGGTTCTCGAAGAAGTTGTAGTCCTTGCGTTCAGTGCTCTTCCAGGTGCTACCGCCGTCAGTGGAGACCTGCACGCTCTTGACGGGCTCGTTGGCGTTGACGACCTGGATAGAGAACCAGTTGGCGGAAGTGCCCTCCTTGTTATGGAGCACGAGCGGAGTGGAGATGCCGCACTCGACGAACTTGTACGAGGTCTTGACGATGCCGTCTGTGCCGCCGACGGCTTTGAAGGCGTCGGGGAAGAGATCGAGATGGCCGGGGTCACATTCGGGGCACTTGTCGACGATCTGATGGAGTCAGCTTGGTAACTTCTTGTTAGTGTGGAGGGCTTACCATGGCCTTGATGGTGCCTGAAGGACCGGTGACTTCGATACAAGCACCGCAGTTGGCGGCGTTGTCCCACTTCTGGCCAGAGAAAGCAGTTCCGAGGATATCAGAGGGGAGGGTGTAGGTTGAGAACATGCAGTTTCCACCAGCGAGGTTTCCACCGTAGAAGGTAGAAGATCCAGAGACGGAGGCACCGTTACCGATAGGTGTAGATTTGGAGCCAGAGCCGGAGCCGGAGCCGGTACTAGGAGTAGATGTCTTGGTGGTGCTGGGCTTGGTGGTGCTGGGCTTGGTGGTGCTGGGCTTGGTAGTCTTGGGCTTAGAGGCCTTGGGCTTAGAGACCTTCTTCGGCTTGGTAGTCTTGGACTTGGTAGTCTTGGGCTTGGAAGCAGCAGTCTTGACCTCGACGGGAGAAGACTTCTGGCTAACAACCTGAGGGGCCTGGGAGATGACAGGCTCGGGAACAGGGTACTGAGTGTGGACGGGCTCAACCGCAGAAGAGTGCGAGTGTCGGACCTTGCAGGCTCGGCCCATGACAGCGGGAGCTGCGAGAAGAATGGGGAGGAAGAACTTCATCGTGATCGACAAAACAAGTTTCAGATGTTGAATGGATGCCAAGTGATTGTCTTGGGGCTTGCCAAGAACTGAGATTTGGTACAAAAAGAGTGAATTTACTTGAAATGAATGAACGAACGAACTGAACCGGAACCGTCGAGATTCGGTGTCAAGAAATGAGTGACTGAATGAGAGAATGAGAGAAAGTGTCAAAGCTAACAATCCCAAATCGAAGAGGGAGAACGAGCTTATTATCTAGCACTCTACTCCGTACAATTAAACTAACCGGATCCCCGGCACATCATCCAATCTCACTCCTGCAGCATGAAATGAACGCCTCTGGTGACAACAGACAAACAGGTCTAGAAGCCTCCTTCGGTAGGGCTGACACACGCTTCCACGATCCCTCTAATTTCGCAGCCGGGGGTGCTTACAGGGGTGACCACGCCAACGGCCGGGGGGCGACATGATGGAAAACGGTCGAGCCAAACTCGATTGGTGCGAGGGGCCGTCAGGAATGGCCCGATCGAACCGAGAGGATCGAGTGTTGGTTAGATTGTGGTGGTGATGGTGGTGGTGATTTGGTGGGTGTATCGACAGATTAGAGTTTCATGCGGTGGTGGGAGACGGAGAAATTTCACGGAGGAATTGTTCGAGAGTTGGTATGAGCTGTTATTGGATCTTTTGCGTGAGTTAGTCTGTGTGTCTGAGATGGGAGATCGTAGAGTTACATCGTGGTCGGGAACCGGTTGATTGATTGACGCTACCAATTCTGAAACTCATCGGCACTTGTTTCTTCTCCAGACGAAAGGCTCTCAAGACTTTAACTAATGGATAGGAAGTACATGTAGAATATCCCAGGACATGACTACTGAGCCCCTTTTCGATGTTATTTTCCCTTGTTTAGCGTCTTGAGCCCTTCTGGCACCTCGAGAAGTGGAAAGGTTCATCACTTGGGTGGATAAAACGTGGAGTGTAACAGAAGTCGTTGAAACGCCAAGACTGAAACTGTTTCTGCTGGGATACGTCAGTTCGTTTGTGGATGCGTTGCGATTCATCTGTTATGGAGAGAAACTCTTTCTTCTTTCAATTGAAGTCTCGTCTATCTCACCAGTCATGACCGCCACTATGATGAACCGCGTGATAGAGTGAATCGAGAGTCTTGCCTGTGTTGAAATTGCCTACCCTGAACCAGCTTGCGTTTCATCAGCTGACATCACTTGAGGGACGTCCGAACACTTCCAGACCAGAATGAGACTGCTAGAAGTCGATTGATTTATGTTCCATCGCTCAAAGAGCTATTTTGAGTGTGCTTTTCCTCAGTTGTATTGAGAAAGTCTTGGTGAAAGATCCACCAGTTTGCGAAATCGCTGTCTCTGCTATTTGCAGAATGAGATCACCTTCACGCCGTTGTTTTGAAGCTATCACGTGCCCTGGAAATCTTGTCCTCTTGCCTTGTCAGCAGAGATGAAGGCCCATACAACAGTTGAAATGACCATCTGCATGAGATAAGCAAAGTTCAGACTCAATTCTGATGCGCTCTAGTCGCATCGCAGATGAATTGGTGGTGAACCAAGCTCGGCAAGGAAGTGACGCGTCCGCGTATTAGAATTATCTCACAATGTAACAATGATACGTTGCAGAATGAAGCAGTCTATCATCTTGAAGCTGCAGGATGCGAGTGTAGTGGATACGAGGAGATATCACTTACACACACAAGGTGAACATACCTCTGGAGGATGGCGACAAACATAGAGGTCTCCACATCTTGTTCCATTCACTTGCTCATTCAGTGAGGTATTGTTCATGCCGTGCACACGTATGTAAGCCTTTCTAGCCCGCATCATTGACATCATTGAACAAAATCCAACCTGCCCAATGGTCTTTTTATTCCCGACTGTGAGCTAAGCTTCGAACCGCGTTCCTACAGGTGCGGGTAGGGCACAGGTTATCAAGGGGGATGCTCTGGTCGATCTCCAGAGAAAACGTTCCGTGCTGATTCAGAATTTGTTCTAGTGATGCTGAGGTATAATGGGATACTGTTGGCTCGGGTATGAGACTACAAGGACGCTTGGCTCAGTGCTAGGAAATGTAACTCAGCATGATCTCCGTCAAAGACTGTTCCCGCTGAACTTTAAGTTCAGGAGTGTCGGTAACCTTGGCCGAGACCCCCAGATCATTACCGTTCTCGTCTGCACTATCAATTTACCCGTCTTGGGTTAGACGACCGACTTGGCAAATGGGCTTGTTCAAATGACAATTTCATTGTCTTCCCGTAAAACCTGCTTCGGCATAGAACTGATCATTTTGTCGGAATACAAGAACTCTCGTATCGCATCGATCCTTCTAATGACTTTTCAAGAAAGGCCACTGGCTGGGAGGTCAATTAGCGTAAGACGATAACGTCACAAGCTTTTCTTGCTCCCCCGATTATCGTATTCCCTGGGCCCATACCCCGAATAATTTGGGGGAATTTGGGGAAGAATTCGGGGAATGGAGAGAAACTTTCCCCACACGCCGCCGCTGATGACATAGCCAAATGGTTCCAAGATATCGACTTCAACGACAATTTCCCGTCTTTTCGACGCCCAAAGCCCCAGACTTTGAGTTTAGGCAAAATAGAAATAAATATGATTGAGTCGGTCATTACAATCCATCTCCAAGAATGCAGCCGGTATCAGTGAGGCAGTGGAGCCGCAACACGGCCTCGAAATCAGGCACATACAAACACAGCGACGATCATTGCTTTGCTGCACTCGCAACAGGATAACATGCGCTCCAATCATGATCAGCCAAGGCTTCCACAGTCTTTCGAGAAATCGTATTTCGGATGTCAACTCTGCACCGTTATGGCGCTGTTGGAGTACCCCGGTGTGACATCCAGACAGGGTCCCCCATGTTCGTTTTTCGATGATATCATTTCTTGGAACGTCTGTTCGCGGAGCCGCTCATGTGTTCGCTGAGGTATCGAATCTTGGACTCGTGTGGTATTGTGAGTGAATGAAACACTGTCTGTAATATCACAAGCCAAGCTAAAGTCATGGGGGGAAAGGAAAGTCGTGACGACCCTAAATGACAAAAATATTTAGGTAAGTTAGCATAAATTTGGGATATCTTTAGGTAAATTTAGGATACCTTTTGCCAAGTTTATTTTACCACCTTATGTTAAGGATCCGGTATTTTCTTGCTCTCTGAGGCTAAGCCAAGCCCACCAACGCTATCAACCACAAAGCGACGATCACCCCGTGGGCAAACCTCCACGAGTGCATGACGTTAAGCGGGCCCCCTTCACATCGCAAACCCTCACTCGCGCGCTTCTAACCTTCTCCACGCCATCCTTGACGATGCTCCCGAGGGTGTTCTTATATAAAGAACAGCTCCAGCCCGACTGAGGACTTCACCGTTCAAGAGACTGCAGTTCTTTGAGTGTCATTCACAACATCCACCATGTATCGGATCTGGAACATCTACGGTACAGTCACTTCTTCCTTGATAATGGACTGTAGCTAATACATGCAGCGCTTGCTGCCATTGGCACGATCGGCGGCATGCTCTTCGGTTTCGACATCAGCTCTATGAGCGCCTGGATCGGCTCCGACCAATATCTTGACTACTTCAACAGCCCAGGCTCAACCGAGCAAGGCGGCATCACAGCCTCCATGTCAGCAGGATCATTCGTCGGCGCCCTCGTCGCTGGAGGTATTGCCGATAAGCTTGGTCGACGAAAGGCTCTCATGATCGCTTGTCTGTTCTGGATCGCGGGTGCTGTTCTTCAGTGTTCTGCGCAGAATGTGGCGCACCTTATCGTTGGTCGTGTTGTGAGCGGTGTTGCTGTTGGTATTACGAGTTCGCAGGTCCTTGTGTACCTTGCGGAACTTGCGCCTTCGGATATTAGAGGGAGAATTGTTGGAATTCAGCAGTGGTCTATTGAATGGGGTGAGTTCCACAACATTCTATGGAAAAGTTCTGTGCTAATGTAACCAGGTATCTTGATTATGTATCTCATCTCTTACGGATGCTCCGTTGGAGTTGATGGACCAGCTGCCTTCCGCATCGCATGGGGAATCCAAGCCGTGCCAGGCTTCATCCTCCTGGCTGGCCTGTTCTTCTTTCCTGAGTCACCTCGATGGCTTGCCCAGCACGATCGCTGGGAAGAGGCGCATTACAACCTTGCCCACCTCCACGCTGGCGGCGACCTCGACAGTCCAGTTGTGATCGCCGAGATGGAAGAGGTCCGCGAAGCTGTACGCATCGCTCGTGAGTCCAAGGATATCGGCTATCTCGGCCTCTTTGCGCCTGGAGTCTGGAAGCGCACTGTTGTTGGTGTGAGTGTCCAGATCTGGCAGCAACTTCTGTAAGTGTACCCCTGAAACTCGTGAGAATAGCTACTAATAAGACCAGGGGCGGAAATGTCATGCTCTACTATCTCGTCTACATCTTCAACATGGCTGGAATGACTGGAAACACCGCTCTAACATCCTCCATCATCCAATACGTCATCTTCCTCGTAACAACCGGCATTGTTCTGCCCTACATCGATCGTCTCGGCCGCCGACCTCTCCTCATCAGCGGAGCATTGATCTGCGGTGTCCTTCACTTCACCAGTGGGGCTGTCATGGCTGTTCACGGCTACCCCGTTGACGGTATCGAAGGTAACGACATCCTTACTTGGGCCATTTCAGGAGCTCCCGCCAAAGCAGTCATCGCCCTGGCATACATCTTTGTGGGCATCTACGGTCTTACCTGGGCACCTGTTGCATGGATCTACGCCAGTGAAGTCTTCCCCCTAAAGTACCGAGCCAAGGGTGTTGGCCTCGCCGCCTCTGGTAACTGGATGTAAGTCCTTCCCCCCACTACCAGACCAATCACATGTACTGACATATGAACTCACAGCTTCAACTTGGCACTCGCCTTCTTTGTCCCACCGTCGTTCACAAACATCCAGTGGCAGACATACATGATCTTCGGAACATTCTGTATCGCCATGACGTTCCACGCTTTCTTCACTTATCCTGAGACAGCACGCAAGACCCTTGAGGAAGTTGATGTTTTGTTTGATAGTAACGTGCCTGCTTGGCGAAGTGCAAAGGCTAGTGGTGGGTTTGATGAGAAGGTTCAGGAGGCGAGGCGCACTGGTGGTCTGAAGGGGGAGCTTGAGGAGAGGGAGGCGACTCATGCTGAGACTGCGTAACATTCATGTTGATGATTTGTTACAGTGTAGTGTTTGAGTTTCAAAGTTTGGACATATCCATGCACCCAATGATATGGTGTTGTATGTATTGTGTGCTACTAAACCTTCCATGCCGGTGTCCACTTGAACTCTGTCGGATGACTGGTCTCGCTCATCAATTGCTTAACCAATCCCGTCCAGGTGTCACACAACTAAGTTTGGTCGACAGTGATCACGTGTTGACAGAAGACTCATGGTCTTCGTATTTTCCTAAGTGCTAAACACCGTACCTATTTGTCACACTATCGGGTTCATCTTGGAGATATCCAATAATTACTTGTCCTAACCAAGCGATCTATCCGCCTTTGCCCAACCTTGTGTAATGGTTCAAGCTCGCAAAGTGTCTAATTGTTTCAATGATGCTTAATGCCACACGCAATATCTTCGTTAAATGTGTTCCACAAAGCCTTTGGGATAGGCATTCCCGCGTTCTGTAACACACTGCATCAAACAGTATGATACACATCCTCAAAGAAGACGGCCCGTATCGGAAATATACACGGAAGCTGAGGTCAAACTTCATTTCTTTGCCCTGTTGCCCCGCAATCTGTGAGAGCAGTGTGTATCCAGCGGGTATAGAAGCATCCCATTCATATGTATCATTGCACCGAATGCAGAGTTTTTATCGAGTTCGCTTATACATGTAAGTAATTGGCCTTAAGCTTTTGCAGCATCAAACAAATTGCGGTGAGTCACTGGTTGTGAGGCTTAATTTCCTATCACGTGTGTTCCTTGGTGTGACAACCAAAGAGTTGTGAAACTATTCACATTGTTGCCTATGATTCACAGTTTCCCTTACATCAACTACATTAACTCTGTTTCTACTCTCTCTAACTTTTCACTGTACCTGTGAATCACCGACACTTTGACTCTTACTGAGACTTTTCTTACAGCATACGACTAAACCTTTTGTGCTCCTCATCTGCCAATCCTATTGCCTTTGAGTTCCTGAGCCTCATTTTACCAAACTCTACTGCCGCAATCTCAAATCGCTCGAGGTATAAAGTAGCAGCCCTGTCCTCTCCTCTCCTTGACTTGCGCTAAACTTCTCTTCCCAGACATCAAACTTGTCAACTCTTTTCTCCCTCTTTCACATCTTCCAGTACCAAACCGCAAGAATGCAGCGACCCAAAACCGACCAGGAGATCCGAAAGACCTGGACCCCGTTGCAGCGGCAGTTCGAGGCATGGTACGAAGCGAACAAAGCGCAAATCCGTCAATGCCACAGGCCAGGTGCCGATTACGATGCATTCAACCAGCTCATCGCCATGAGTTTCCCAAAGGAAGAAGATCAAAAGGCCTTCGAAGTCTGGGCCGAAGAGTGGTTGGGCCGCCACGCTGCGAGGATGACGTACAGGATGGAACCAGGGGAATTCCTCACTCAAGTCAGTAGGACCAACTTCACGGACACTAACTCGACTGGCGACCTTTTGCGGACGATCGCCTTGAACTATATGCCTTGGGTCCCTATTGGAAAGTCCAAGTACGGAGGTGTCGGAACCTTTTATGCGTTTAAACGCAACACCAATTTTCTTAAACCTGATCTTGTTGAGCCTGGTCCAAATGTCGTTGGTGACTACATTCTCACCATGAATCTCAAGTCCAAGACTCGTGCAGCGTCTGGTCTTGCACCTGCTTCAAGTTCAAGCAACGTGTTCAATCCTAGCATCAGGTCAACTTCTGTTAGCGAAGCCCCCTATGCTCGCGCACGCGCTTCTACTGCTTCTAACCGTTCCCCCACCAAAGAGAATCCCAACAAAGCTCCTGATGTGGATGAAAATATTGTATTCGCTCAGATCGGAACTCTCTACGTCTATGGGGGGGGCTACGTTGATCCTTCCCCAGCCACCATCCAAACCATCAACGAAGGTCCCTGGTGGCGAAACGGATTTTCCGTTGTTGTTCTTCTCAACCAGAAAGGCCAGCCTGGACCAGTCTACGTTGTGTACAATGATGCCAGTCCAAAGGATATTACAGGCAAAGATGAAACTGCTGTTGATCCGGAGGAGATTCCAGACACGGCAGGAGTCGCGGCTTACCATCAGCCTGGAAAGCTTCACCCAATGTGCAACCAGAAATTTACGGTTGCCAAGATTGCCGACTCTCTTGGCCGCCTTGGAAACCTTAACAACGTGTTCGTCTTTAAGGAAATCGCCAAGGATAAACGCATGCTTCGTTCCACAAAGATTGAGACTGACAAGACCACTGGGAAGAAGTTTATCCCTCATGCCACCCCTGCCAAGATCGTTGCAAGTGGCAGTCCTTCTCAAGCACCTTCAGGTGCTAAGTGAATATATTTGAGAAGGATTCATGGCGATATATGGTTGATGGATCTCGGATTCGTGGATGAATGGACACTGGCATTTTACTCTTTTGTCTTTCTTAGTACTTCGGCAGGGATTAGCCCATAAAAACTGAAAACCAAAACTTTAGCAATCATTTTATCTTTATTTATTCTAATAAAAACCATTTCCTTTCAGTGGCTAAATTCTGTTTCCATTCGTAAAGCGAGCTTAGCAACCTGAAGTTCTTAATCACTCCCATGTACCCCTGCAGCCAAGTCATTGTTGATCTCTACCAAGCAACATCGCAGGAAACGTATACGCCATGGAAAAGAATTAAGGTGACCGAAGAGTATTGAGAAAGCTTCTCATCATGAGAACAGGACGACGCTTCTGTTGTTGGAGTAGTCTTAGAAAGAACCAGAGCTTAATTACACCTATTATCTCTCGCAGTAGATGGAATCCACACAATTGATCTGGAAGAGCGAGACCGTGTTAATCTCATGGAGCGAGGCGAATGCTTACTGATAATTACCGTGTTGTTGTTAGTATTATCTTGTTTGAGAGAGGCCTACCTCATTTTGCTTCTTGGAGCTTGTTTCTAGTATGTGAAAGGCAAAGGCAATGTTCTTTCGCAATACCAATGCAGTCACTGGAAATGCTGCACCTCGTCCTCTCATAATTCGACAAAAGACGTCTCTTGCGCTGGGCCAGGTCTGATCTATGTGATGACCACAGGGAGGACGAGGCAAGTTCGTACAGTACCTGATGGAAAGGGTCTCGATGACAACCCAAAGAGTGTCTGCTTTCGAAAGACTGGCCTTAGTTGTTCTTTACCTCAGCAAGTTGGGTAAGACGCAGTAAAAAGACTGTTATTATCGTTAAAAAGATAATGTTCGACTTATGTCTAGCATCAGGCCGAGGTCGCCTTCGCTTGCCTTGTTTCTTCTTGCTAGACTTACTCCGACTAAGTTTCCAAACTGTTTATCTATAGTTTGTTCGATTTTGATGCAAGCAATCTTACTGTTAATCCTCCACAAGCCCCGTGAACAGAAGACAGTCAGACTTTGTCCTGCAACTTACACCAACAGCATAATTTCTGTAGCATGCGGGAGTCTTGAAGAACAAAAGACTAGATCTTCCGATAAGAAATAATTGTATAAATAGCTCATGTGCATCCTCTGAGTACTTGCTTGGTCTGTTGAGTGTCTGTGGGCAGCAAGGCCAATTAATGATCGAGATTAGCAATTGACTCTATAAAGTCCTCCGTGGGGAGCAAGGAAACACTAAACATGGATATAGGATGCTGGAGTGGTTCCCTCTACGGGTGTGTCACCGATAGTGGAATAGCAATGATTTTGAATAAGTTCTGCCTGATTTAGTCCTCGTCGCTAGTAGCCTCAACGACACGAACTCCTCCCCCCTTCTTGGCTGACTCAATCTCTCTCTTCTGTTGCTGCTGCTGTCTCTTCCCAACCTCATTCACCAGACCCTTCAGATAGACCTCGGCCTGAACAGTAGCGCTGTACGCAGCTGGTGTCCAGTTCCAGATGTTTCGCTTATGTATATCCGCGCCCGCCGCCAGCAGCGTTCGCAGCACTAACAGGTTTCCGTTCCCACTCGCAAAATGCAACGCCGTATTCCCTTCAACGTCCGCGCGGCGGACTGCATCGTAAGGTCCGCCGGGGACAAACGTAAGGAGGAGTTGGACGATAGTGTCGTGTCCGCCAAGGCTAGCTTCCATCACGGCATCGCGACCTCGGATGTCGCGGCGAAGTATACATGTTTTATCGTGTTCGCAGAGGAGTTGTACAACCTCGGTGTGGCCTTCGGCTGAGGCGAGCATAAGTGCTGTTTGATGGGTCTCGTTGAGTGCAGGGACTGGATCTTCGTGACCAAGCTGTAGGAGGACTTCGCAGACTTCGCGATGGCCTAGTGAGGCTGCTAGGTGCATGTTCGAATTGGAGAGACCGGATGGTGAAGAGTCGGGGTTGAGGAGGAGAGTGGGGTGTGACTTCAGAATTCGGCGGAGGAGTGTCGCATCATTGGCATGAATTGCCCGACGAACGCGAATAGAAGGTTCGATCCTACAGCTGATTAGTCTTGAGCATGATAATCTCGAGTTGGCGCTCTCACATGATAGGGGACGGCGGGTCATGACGGTTGCAATTCAGGCGAAAGAAACATGCCGCGCAATCGCGAAACAAACGAAAGTCGAATAGAACAAAAGAAACGAAAGGCAATTTACAAGCTGAAGATGGATGATGTTAATGACACTTTAGAGAAAGGAAACGCTAAATGAGGCTGTCGTTGAAGTAATGCAATGAAAGAGGGGAAGGGAATGGAAGCAAGGCAAGCAAGCAACAGAGTTGCCGTAGGTTGATGATAAGATTCCAAGAAAGCTTAACTCGGGCGAGGAAATGCTCTGCGCCCGCTTGCAACAAGCAGCTCCTCATGAAACAGGCGGCGCGGACCCCACATTGCGCTGACATCCGCTAACTGCAGTTGGCTTACCCGCTGTTTGCTACACGAGCCTGAGAGAACTCAAGAAGAGGTGCGTAAGAGCAGTTTACAATAAGTAATTTTACCTGCTTTTACTTGACTCAAGATATAAGCCAGAAAATGACCTATTTACTGCAAAAGCATTGGTCATCATGGTTTGTTATTGGTATCATGAAACCGTTAAAGCTCAATCAAGACCCACTGTTCTAAGCGCTGTCATGGTCTTTTGCTGGTGACGATGGAGCTTCATTGACGTCAGATTTACCCTAATGGGGCAATTCCTATTTGTTCATATAGTATTGCATCGAGACAGTTTATCCTATAGAACTCGTAGTGGTCCTCCATAGATATGCCCTCAAAATATTCTGAGAGATTTTTGTCATCTTTTTACTTTATACCAAGGTTCAACACGCTAATCGCCCAGGCCCTTGAGTTCAAGGGCTGGGGGAGGAAAGAAAACTCAGGACCTCAATTCCAAATGACAAAAATACTTAGGTAATATAGCCTAAGTTTAGGATGACTTTTGCTAAGTTTATTTTAACAGCCTACAGTAAGGTTTGCTGTTTTCTTGGCCCCGAGGGAAGGGATATGGCCAAAGAGTAAGCCGGGTTTGTCTCAGTGAATGGTTTGTTTGTTTCAAGCTTCTACTGGCCGACTCGCTGAATCGTCACGTCCCGCTTTCTTCAAAGAATCCCATCTGATTCACAATCTCACCAGCGCCCAGCAACAAAACATAAGTATCCCATCATTTCATAGCGAGATCACTGCAGTTTTTGAATATAATACCACTTTGTGGCTACCGATCTCATCAAACGGGCTTGATCACCCAGCGAAGCACGCCCGGTTAGCTCAATCGGTAGAGCGTGAGACTCTTAAGAGTTCACAATCTCAAGGTTGCGGGTTCGACCCCCGCATCGGGCTGTTCCTATAAATTACATATTCATGATTGAGATGTGCTTTCTTTTTTGCGATTCTTGTCAATTTCTAACTGTCATTTGATGATTGCAGTGTAGATAGATGAGTTTTGGTGAATGGGTCATGTTTACAAACAAGTCAGAAGTGGCTCGGTATTAATGTAAATATGGTATTGCAGTTAAGATTTAGTAAAATAAATAAATCTTTTCCTTTATTAACCCTTATAACCCTTAATGAGAAACCCGATAGAAACCGTCTAGTTCAGCTCATGAGCCTTCTTAATAGCCTTGTTCTTGCCCGTGTCCAATACAACGGCAGGGTCTTCCTCATCACCCTTCCTAGAGACCTCGTTACCATTCTTTGTCGTAATTGTCGTACTGCACTCAATGTTAATAAACAAACAATTTCATCAGCAGCAAATTGAACACTCACTCTTCAGCCTTGACATCCAAGACCTTACCCTCGGGCTGTCCCTGTCCCCAGTTCCAGCTCACAGTCTCTCCCTTCTTGGGTCCTTTCTTTGCGCCAGAGTCATCTCCACCCTCATCATCACCTTGCTCCTCTTCAGCATCTTCATCCTTCTTTGAAGATCCATTGGGCTTCTTGGACTGGCCATTGGACTGCTTCTTTTGTCCCTGCTTCTTCTCTTCATCACCATCTTCGTTTTCCTCCTCCTCGTCTTCATCATTGGACTTTGTAGACTCTCCCTTGCCAGTCTCGCGCTTCTTGTTGGAACCGGTCTGGCTTCGAGTCGCTCTTCGCTTCTCGCCAGTTTGCTTATCATCATCATCGCCCTCTTCTTCCTCGGCTTCGTCATTCTCTTCTTCTTTATCCTCTTTCTCTTCCTTCTTCTCACTACCATTCTCTTTGCCTTGAGCCTTGAGAAAATCGTGACCCCAGTTCTTGAGTGACGCGTAGGATTTGGTCTTCTTGACCTCCTCGGGGGACTTGTTGTTGTTGGCCTTGGTCTCCTGAGCAAGATGTCGCTTACTGCGGGGTGTTAACATCCAATTGACCAGCAATGCCTCTGATATCAGTCGCAATCAGCGTGAAAGACTTACCAGTAAGAAACAACCTTGCGCATGTGCTGGACTTGCTCATCGGTGTACTTCTCAGGTTCCTTCTTGGGGTTCTCCTTCAAGATCTCAACAATCTTGCGACCGCTGTCATGTCCAACAGTCTCTCCATTCTCATCCTCCTTTGGCCAACCAGCACTGTTGGAATCATCCGACTTGAGCCACTTCTCGAGCTCTGAGGCCGTCATGTTGACGACATCGTTGAACTCTTGGATAACTTCATCATTACCCTTCATGATTGCGGTCTTGTTTACAGCTGTGTGATTGAAATATGTGTGATATCGAGAGTTTTGAGTAAGCACAATCAATTGATGGGAAAATTACGGATTTGTTTAAACCATCACCCAGGTTTTGTTATTGCTTTTGGTCTCGGCCGTGTCGTCATTCCAGCCATCTCTTAATCGTAGCGTCATAGAAAAAAAACGTAAAACAATGCGTCGCAAACAGCTTACGGTGATCGATTCAGCTTAATCAAAAAGCAAATTGACTCTGACGTTTAAGTGTGTGCATGGTCTCAGCTGAACAAGGTTGGACCGATCTGATGTGGTCGTCCAAGGAACGCGATCCGATCTGCTGAATGAGCGCATCATTTCCGGCGATCGATGGTTGCTTGGCTGGGAAGTGGGCCAGGAACGGAAGTGAGACGGATCAATCATTTTTGGCCAAGCTTGGTAGGGCTTAATCGGACTAAGGGGAATAATGATGATGGGAGGGAGGTAAAGGATGAGTTCTGTACAACTGGTTGTTTTGGTGCTCTTCTTGTCGGCCTGCAGGGAGCCATGAGCTGAATCAAGTTGTTAAGGCATCTTGATGACTCACAATATTCCGAGTCACCATATGGATAATGATCAGATTATGAATACTCAATTTCTATCATCATGGTTAAAATCAAGCAATTACCCCTGACTGGTATCAATATACCAAGATAGGTACCAATGTTGAATTAGCCTCTCCTGAGTTTCTTCTCATCATTCACGGGCAAGATGAAGGAAAGTAACTACAGTCCTTGTTACTGTACCTTAGTATCTAAGCCCCGATATTGCGTGCCAACCTCGTAAGCAATTACAGTTCGAGTAACAAAATTGAAGAACTTATAGATATTGTTCTCTCAAAATCAAGGTCTACCACGCTCTTCTCGTGAAATACTTCCACAATGAATTCACGGCAGTTGCATTCGAGCTTCAGAGCTAAGACCTGAATTGATGATGCAATCGTCAAAACAGCTCCAGATTCCCCTCGCTAAACCCAAAAGAGCAATCAAAGTCCCCACCGCGGGGTTGTTCGGCTGCGGGAGCGGGGCCATATTTCGCCGGGGTCGCAATCTGAGGCCGATTCAGGAGCAGACCATTTCAACATTCACACCCTCTTTTTTGTGACTCAGATTGAAAAAACATCCCATACACCAGGTACGCGATAGCCTTCCTATTTCGATCATCCCTCTATAAAAAAAATCGCGTTGTTCTGTGCGTTTTCTCTCTTCTATGTTTTCATGCGCGTCAATTGAATCCTCATTGAGCCTTTTCACCCGCCGCACGCTTCTCCGCCACTCGCACTCAACTTTTGCAATTCGATCGCAACATAAAAAGCAAATAGCTAATCCTTTTCGAAACTTCAGAATCGACAGCTTAAGAACCGCCGCCATCATGTCTGACTATCCCCACATTCTCCTTCGCGCTGAGGAGAAGCCTCTCGAGCACCGATCTTTCTCCCCCGCAATTATCAAGACACTCGTTGATGCTGGATACCCCATTTCCGTCGAGCGATCGTCCACCGACCCCAAGTTCAAGCGTATCTTTGAGGACTCAGAATATGAGGCTGCTGGTGCTCGTCTTGTCGATACGGGTGTCTGGCCCAACGCTGAGCCTGGAACAATCATCCTCGGCCTAAAAGAGCTACCTTCTGAGGACTTCCCGCTCAAGAATGACCACATTGTACGCTGAGTGTTTTGAACGAAGGCATGCTACTTGCTGACTTAGACTTAGACATTTGCACATTGTTACAAGGTAGATGCTTTGCAACTCAAGCGAAATCTCATCTAACACTCCATCTCAGAACCAAGGCGGGTGGGAGCAGGTCCTCGGTCGCTGGGCACGCGGTGGCAGCCGGCTTTACGACCTCGAGTTTCTTGTGGACGAACAAGGTCGACGTGTTTCTGCGTAAGTCTTTTCCAAATAGAAGCCCAAGATGCGGCGATTTTGCCCTTGCTGGGAAGAGTTCAATCGTTGAAGAAAGGGCGGGTTTGCGCCACCCCACAACCAACGCACCCGGAGCCTCGAGGCTCAACGGTCGGGTTCTTGTGACTAGGTCACAAGTTCGGTTTCCGAAAGGTGTCGTGCTTGCTATCTTAGCTTTGATAACCTCGAAAAAGCTGTGCATACACGGCCTCTTCAGTGGAGACCGGAGCCCAAGTTTTACGATGAAGTCTTCAAGTATGGATAGCCAAGCAGCATTTTTACGGGATACTTGGGATTATTTTGGTGTTTGATTCGATAGGTACGAGCTCTGAAAATGAGCTCTCATACCGCCCACCCTCGCAGAGCATGGTGAATGGTGGAACTGGAACTCGTTTCGCACTGTTGCACCAGCCAATTTCAAGGAAGCAGTATGAGTACTGGGACAAACCCGAAAGTTCGGAGATTCATGTGTTGGGTCTACACCAAAACGTTGAGGATCTCAGGCCTTTGCCGTGGGTCCCAACTTTCGAGACCCAGCACAGGTTTTGCTGGTGCCTCAACTATCGACATCTGAACATGCAATACAACAAGTTCTTCCTTTTTTAATTTACTAACAACCTTACTTAGATTTGGATTCTCGGCTGGATTTTGTGGAGCTGCGCTAGGAGTCAAGTCCCTGGCTTTTCAGCTTGAGAACCCGACCTCTAAGCTTCCCTCCGTCGAGACATTCACTGATGGCCGCGGATACTACCTGAACGAGGACGAGCTCGTCAACCAGATTCGCGAGGACTTCGCTAAGGCTGAGAAGGCTCTCGGACGTAAGCCCACTGCTCTCGTTCTCGGCGCTCTTGGACGATGTGGTAAGGGTGCCGTGGACCTTTTCCTAAAGGCCGGCATGCCTGATGAGAACATAACTCGTTGGGACTTGAACGAGACTAAGGACCGTGATGGTAGGTTATACATGTGCTTATGTGTGTGCCTTCGATAATGAAACTAACATCTTCAGGCCCTTACGAGGAAATTGCCAAGGCTGACGTCTTCCTCAACGCCATCTACCTCTCCAAGCCCATTCCCCCTTTCATCAACCAAGAACTCCTTGCCAAGCAAGGTCGCAACCTCGCTGTTGTCATCGACGTTTCTTGTGACACCACAAACCCTCACAACCCTATCCCCATCTACTCAATCAACACCACCTTCGAGGACCCAACCGTCCCCGTTGAGATCAAGGACGATCAGAACAACCTCCCCCTATCCGTCATCAGCATTGACCACCTCCCTTCCATGCTTCCCCGCGAGGCTAGCGAGGCCTTTAGTGAGGGTCTCAAGGAGTCTCTGCTCACGCTGAAGGATCGCGAGACTTCGCGGGTATGGGCTGATGCTGAGAAGCTCTTCCATGAGAAGGTTGCCCTGTTGCCCGAGGAGTTGAGAACCAAGAGCGTTTAAAAGTGCTATTTATGTTGTAGTTGAGTTGGCTACATAGACCGCAATAGAAGGAAGGCTAAAAGAACAGCCTGATTGGCATATTTCGACACTTGCTTTGAGGGTGAACGCTGAGTTGGGGTGCTTCTTGCTCAACAGATGATGTTTACAGACATAAACCTACAGGGTAAGTACGACACAAAGTAGAAAATACCATTGTGCCAAAACGGAAGGTACCTTCACATCAAGGAAGGCAGGTATCTCAGGTTTTACCTCTTTACACACAATGGTTCTTCCAACAACTTAAGTTATAGTAAACAATTGAATCGAAGTCAAGACATTAAACGAGCCATCACTTACTTAACTCAACCATCTCGTTCAACTCCCTTGAACAAAACTATCTTTCTTGACCCGAGTCTCTCACCACAACCCTTGCAATTCAACAAGACGCATTTGCATTGCTTCCGAAGTATACGATTGCGAAGCTGAAAAGTCGGACAACAGAAAACTGAACACCCGCGCTCAATCAAAGTATCAGACAAGGAGCTGATAGGTAGATTCTTCTTGGTGGAAAGTATTCTGAGCAAGGGTATCTGCAACATAGGCATAACTTTGCTGGCGGTGAAGTACAGAGTTGGTCCTGAGACCTATAAGGCCCAAAAATTAGCGTGACGCTACTTTGACCGAATTCGTTGAGTTTCTCACCAGGTCATTGGAGCTTCTGATAATCGCCATCTTCAACGTCTGCGTATTATATCGAAACGGTCTGATAGCCACGATGGCTTCTTCAGACAATAATGGTACGGACATTGAGTCCATTGAGGGTGATGAAGCCTCCGAGGTGACTCATTCATAGCCTGAATTTCCACAATCACTGCAGGTGGCTCAGTCACATCGAACTGGGGGACGACCTCCAGCTCCAGCTCAGGTTCAACATGCTCAGATGGTTCAGCATCAGTCTCTGTATCCTCAGATGCCGCAGCCACCATATCACATGCCGCAATCTCCGCACATGGCTCAACATAGTTATATGAGTTATCTTCATCCTCATCAGGCTACGCATTCATCTTATATGTATCACTCGCCGCACCAGATGGCACAGTCTCCGAATCAAATACCACAGGGTCCTCACAATCAGATGGCACAGTCTCTGAATCAAATACCACAGAGTCCTCATCCTCAAATGCCGCTTATCCCATACACGCCATACCCTCACTATGATCTTCAACCGGGGCATGCTCCTACCCACAGCCCCCTTTTCACACCCCAGGGAACTCCTATCATGGCACCCGAGCAATCTCCTTTCTTTACACCACTAGCCACACCAACTCCAACCCCTGGACCTCAATCCGCCGCTACCACCCCAGCTCCCTCGGCTACACCGATTGTACTACGAAAGCAGGCTAGTCATTCGAAGAGAAAGAAGGACGAAGTTATCACGTGGATGCGTACTGCTTTCGTTTGGCGGGGGAAAAACATTGTGCGGCCTACTGCGATGGATGCGGAGAAAGAGTTTCGGATTCCGAGGAGGACTATCTCTAGGTGGAAGAAAGCCGAGTAAGTGAAGCTCTAGATTGTGATGTGATGAAGCTGACAGTTTTACAGGTTGGGCCGTGGGCCAATTCCGAGATGATAACGCATGAAGACGTAACGAAGGCTGCACAGAGATGGAAGTTGAAAAGTTGAATAGAAAATTAATAATTATATTTTAATTACATCAGATTTAAGACCAGTTTTCGCTGGGAACCCTGTTCATTGTCTTGTCCGCTTACACAATACAATCTGCCCAAGGTTGAAGTCAAGTCTGCAGTGTTTACGTCACCTATGTCCGATAACGATAACCCCGCCAAAACCTCCCTTGATAACAACCCGTAAGCACCCAATACTTACAAGCAATTCATCCAACTTATTCTCAATTTACAAGCCAAAATGTCTTCCCTCGCGAAAACAATCATAGCAACCGGTGTTTCATCCGGCATCGTAAGCCCTCAAGCCCCAGCGCTTTGTAAGACAGACTCTGACATCTACAGGGCTTCGAAGCAATCAAACAGCTCCTCAGCCAGAGCCAACCATACAGAGTCATCCTCGGCGCACGCAACACTAAAAATGCACAGAAAGCTTACGATGAGCTTAAGTTCGACCGTGAATCTCATGGAGTCACCGTTCTTCCACTGGAGTTGAATGATTTGAAGGGCGTCAAGTCTTTTGCGGAGCAGACGCTTGATAAGATTGGCAGAGAGAAGATTGATTACTTGCTGCTTAATGCTGGACTGGGAGGTGTCGCTGCTGAAGGACCGGGCCCACATGGGTCGAAGTGGTGTGAATCCCATGTTGTAAACCATCTCTGTGAGTATGTTCTGCGAGTTGAGTGGTATGAGATACTGATGGGTTGTAGCGCAGCATTATCTCGTCCATCTCTTGAGGGAGAAGTTAGTCGAGTCCAAGTCGAGGATCGTGTTTGTTTCTTCCGGCGCCATTCGACGAGTCTCTGATCCCAGTAAGTCAAAACACCCAAGCTCAAGTCTCATGTTCTGACCTCGCACAGGTGTACTCGATACTGAACTCAAAGCCGGATCTGGTGCCTCCGCCAGCACGACATACTGCAACACCAAATTCACCGGCCTTTTAGGCGCACAGTGGTGGCGCCGTCAACTCGCCGGTACCAACGACGTGGTCGCTGTTTCGCCGGGCCTTATCCCTGGTACAGGTCTCGCGAACCGTATGGGCATCAAAGCTGACATGGCTGACGCGAAGTCGATCCCCGAGGGTAAGTCGTGTACCGTTGTATTGGAACGTGTAACTGACTGTGTGATAGGCGCACAGAGTGTCCTTGCGGCTATGACGCGAAGTGACTTCCCTGAGGATCGTGATCGGATCTTCTTGACGAGTTGGGGTGAGTGGTGGGAGAAGAGTGTTATTGAAGAGTCGACGGATAAAGAGTTGCAGGATAAGTGGTGTCCTAGTAAGGAGGAAATTGAACGCGAGGCTGGAATTTTATCCTGAGGGTTGAGCATCAGACGATTTTGAATCGGCGATGTTTTGGCTAGGATGAGTGCTGTTCAGCGCCAGCGCTCGCATCTGAAGATTGGGCCATTCGCATCATGACAACAAGCTGCTTTGATAATTGCATCATCTAGGCCGTTCGTACGAACGAGAAAACTAAGAATGATGCAGGATGGATCTTGTAGTTCACATTGAATCCAAGCCAGCCTTAAGCGACTGGTGAAACTTCGACATTCAAGGGGAGGTAAGAAAGCTTAGGATCTCTATTCTAAGTGATCAAGAGACTTGTATGAGTTTAGGTGAATTAAGGAAGCCTTTAGACCATTTGCGTCTAACATCACTGAGAATCAATCAGGATTTCCTCCCATAGCGCCCATTTTTATTTATGTTTTGTATCTAGTTTTTATCTTTTTTTCCTTCCTCTAAGAGGAATACATGAATTATAACCTTTTTTTGTCTTTTGTCTTTTCCCCTTTTTTTTATCTTTTTATCCTTTTCCGGTTTTTTTTCTTTTCCAATTTTCTCAAAATATGCTTTTCCTCCATCTGAAGTCCTCATTCACTTACCATCATCTGCGAGTAACATGACTGTACCTGCCCCTGCTTTGATAGTATTCCATCCTCCTTCTCTGCTCCTCCTCCCGCCTCTTCTTCTGCTCCTCCTCCCGCCTCTTCTTCATGTCTTCTTCCTCCTTCTTCTTCTTCTCCTCCTTCTTCTCCTCTGCCTTATCCCTTGCTCTCTTGTGTTCCTCCAGAATAACACAATACTTAGAGCAAATAACTTCTGCGCAAGAATGGGGAATTTGGCTGCGGTCTCTGAAGAAGGTTTGGCTGGAGGCGTTTATGTTGAGGCCGTCATGCAGCTCTGTAGGATTCGTTGGCTCTGCGTACCTCAAAGTCACTTTGCACATCCAACAACAATAGGCTGCTTTAGTTGCATCCGAGGTAGAGAAGGGCCGGGCAATGTGATTGGAACAGTCTCTGAGAGGCTTCGCCTTGCAAATGTCGAGATCTTGCAGCTGTGTAGGAGGAGGAGGCTCTCGCGTATCGGGCAAACCGATGGCTAGATTAGCCACATAGGCTCGGCCCATCATTAGGATTGCATGCTCCTTGCAAGTGATTTTCAGTCCGTCAGCCTTAAGTTCTCTGAGTCTGTCGTCGCTGACCTCGATGCCTTTGTCGGCCTCGTCAAACTCACGAAGGTCTTCCAAAGCCCTTCTCCATTTCATAACATCGACGTTGCCGAAGTGCTGGTGGCGTGCGTTCAATCGGATATCGTAGTAGTGAGGCAAACCGCTTAGGCGTTCTTGGGTGCCGCCAATGGCGGTCGAGTCGTGGATGACGTAGAATGGTTTGCCCTTTACCTTACCCATCCCTGTACAGATATGGATCATAAGTGGGACATTGTAGTCGAGCACATTCTTCTGACCCTCTGTAATTTTCTGAAGCTTTCGCGCTGTTGACGGCCTGAAACCAACTCCGGCTTCTTTGTAGCACGGATCAATGATGACCTTCAACCCTCCTGCTCATTGATTAGTGCGTGTTGAGGTTGAGTGTCAAAGTCTTGCCCAAAGATGGTGATGAACTTACTAAGGATTTTTGCCATATCTTCCAATGTGTTTTGGGGGTTTTCAAACTCTTGACGCTTCTTCTTGGTGTTCAATACGCACCATAGACGAAGGCAGCGAAGATCAATGGCCGGGACCACCTGGTCAGGGACAGCAGGCATCTCTTTCTCATCAGTAGGAACTCCACCCTTACTTGCCCAAATCTTCTTGGTTAGATTTTTAACAACATGGTTCAAGGATGTTGCTGTTATGTGGATCATTCTTGCCATCCCACGCATGGTGTTGCCCGTGTAGTCTCCAGAAGCCATCGGATTAAGCGGTTGGAGATAGGCATCAGCCTCTTGGTAATGCTTTGGCAGCTGCTCGAAGTCCCTGAACACACTGATGGCCATGGAATAGGTGTAGCGCAACATCGCCACAAAGTCCTCAATACCGAATGGCTTCCAACACTCAGTCATATCATCCCAGCATTCAGATCGCTGGAAATCCGCTGTTTCAATCTTTGCTTGAAAAAGGAGATGGATGACGGTACCCAGAGCTTTCGTGAGATGATTACGACCTTCAGTAGTGACAGGTTTATCTGAGTTTGGCAGCAAAATCTTTGGCCACAGACACATAGTGTACCGTTCCACCACCAGAGGATCAGGTACCTCTAGTTCAGTCATATCGGCGGTTCACCTGCCTGCTATAGGTTCGTAGGTACTAGCTCTCCGGAGACGATGAAGGTCCTGAAATTAGGATAGGACGTCAATTTAAATTCGTCTAAAGATTCCTCAAGGTATACTAAACTTACTTCAATGTTTTCTAAACTTAGGATAATGATCCTAAGCTTAGAAGTACAGCTGGGGTCGATCAAAGTTGACTTTCAGGCAGGAGAAGTTGTCGGATCAAGTTCTTTGCAATGGGATCAGATCAAGAAGGTGGCATGGCCTAGGATGTATATGCCAGGAAGTAATCTTGATGGTGATCATCATCTACCGAGAACTTTCTCTCGTTTGTTTGAGCGTCCGGACAAGCAAGGGATTCACCTGTTCCTTCGCTTGCTCGGCACGGCGAGCACCTGGGCTTATTGCTCGGTCCTTTTCCTTTGTTTCACTGTACAACGGTTGCTGTGAATATACCCAGTCGCTGACAGATGTTAGAAATCAGTAACATGGCTTGTTTGGTAGATACATTGCCTTTCAATCATCGTCAGCCTTTCCTGAACTAGATTTTGTACAGTGACTGCGTCTCAATGGTGATTCCACACAACCTCAGCCTCCCATCTTCCATATCTTCTGCTTATGATGCAGGACATGAATCTATCTGGGCCTTATGTTAACCGCCTCTGGTTTGTGATGCATTTGTCAATCTTCCATTGGGATTTCAGTTTCCCAACAGGTAGTCCGTTTGTGAAACTACCAAAATGTTTGCTTCCTTGGTTTTGCTGTGAATGTTACTACGTAAATGTTGCGATATCGCGGAAACATGTAGCAGATTTAGCAAACGAATGAATTCGGTGGCGCGCAGCGAAGTTTTGCTCGCTATTATCGGCTGTAATACGTCTCACAGCCCTCACTGTCCGACTTCTGCGGGATTATTATCGCGAAAGCCCCATTGGAGAGAATTGCGATGTTTGAAGAGCAAGATACTTTCTTTCTCACTCTACCAAGAGGTTTGCCACTGACACAATGAGACGCTCAGCACCAATTGTATCTAAAGATTTCCATTATCTGTAATGAGCGGATATGGGTTCTCTGGTACTTGTCGAATGAACAGACCATCAGCCAAGGTCCATTACTATTTGAACCCCCGTTCATAGAAAATATTAGCGACCAAGAGGTTTGACAATAGGCACAAGCATGCCGAGCTTTGATGTGTCACGTTAATCCAATGAAAACCTGGAAAGGTTGTGTTTCCAGGCGCCCGTGAATAGTGAATCAATCAATGGTGCACTTTCGCGAAGTTTTCATACCTCTAGTTGTACTAGGTGTTTTATAGGCTACAAACGCGAGGCAATCAAGATTTGTGGCACTAATACTTAAACGGAACCTGGTGTTATACCATCTTCACGGTCACACACCACATGCGGGAAAATGTGTTGTCTTCCCCGAGCCGGTTCCAGTGGCAAGGCACGTGGGATAGTGTTACAATCGATTAAGCATACAAAATTATATCACGGCTTGTCACATGAAGGCGGGCCGTTGTCTCATTACACAATCACCAGGAGGTTTATTACATGACTGGTAGGTTACAACCTCTGAAAAGGGATATTTTTGCCGTTCGGTATAACATGGAGTCTTTTCTTACCCTGCGTAGCAACTCCAAACTTGCAGGCTCGCTTGATGATACCATTGAGGTTTCTGATCGTTAAGCAAATTCGGACTCTCCATCAGTACCTTGCCAAATTTGCCACGACGAGCTTTGCAGAAATGTTTGTGGTATCTGGTTCAGCGCTCGAGCAGTACATACTGCAGCCTTTCAAGCTCCTAAACATTCGTTGGCGTGACATGCTACCAGTGCGATCGATGAACATAGCCCGTGAAGGAATCGGATCATGATGTGTGAGTTAGATCAGAGCTTAGGGAGCAGGTGAAGGAGACAGCTAGCTAGTTTAAAGACAATGAAAATATTTATGATACCCAATGAATCAATTCCACATTTTATACAACTAGGCACTTCCTTTATTACCTCTAGAGCATATGATAAGCGGCTTATACCGGTATATTATCAATAACAGAAGTAAATCTGGTTGAGCTTCAAGTCAGAAGTTATTACCCATTGACGACCGCTATTAAGATTAGCTGCTCTTAGTCTACCTTGAATCAATTGGCTAAAAGGTATCATAAGACATTCATACTTAGCCAAATACTTTTCTCACTTAGGACAGAAAACCCACGCTTTCCTGCCTCCCTGAATGTTGAAGCTCTGTACCCGGCTTACAGTGAAAAGAGTCAATAGACCACAGCGAATAAACCCTTATTTCATAAAATTGTGAGCTAGAATAAGAATTCAATGATGCTGGATGAAACCCCTGTCACTTCCTTTCCGTGAAGTTCATTGATAGAGGAGAAAGGCCATCCCAGCAGGCAGATCCCACTCTCATGCTTGGAGAGATAGACGCTGAGTACCGACTGTCTTTTCTCAAGAGGCTTTCCTTGAATCAAGCAAGAATATTCTAACAGCAGTACTATGTGTTGCTGTTGATCCAGACTTGTAGACTAGCCAAGGCTTAGGCTTCAACGGGAAAGCCTAACTCATTGCGGATTGCGAGACACACAACCACCCTGCTTCAGAAAATGAACTCGCGAGTGTGATCGTTGCATATATCAGTGTCCTGAGATGATAGAAATTGGGAGGGAATGATATATCACAAATATCGCCGGGATTTGCACATCGTTTCTTGAGTTCATATTGTGGTAGTTGTTCTGCTCCATCCCCCTTCATCTCTCCCCCATGTCTGTACTATGAACAACTACCTCTTCATCTTCACCACTGATGATATACTTGTACACTCGATATCAGGAGACCAATGGCGATGTTCTTTCCATTCTTCTGTCACTGGCAGCTGTGAGCTATGAACCACACTGCCCGGCACAGTAGCAGCCGAACCGCGACCCATGCATGGCCAATCAATGGACTTATTGGGCGAACTAAGGTCAGAATGGAGGCTATTCACAGTGAATCATTGCTGAACAACTGCCATTGTTAGAACTAATTTGAGGGGCAGTAACCATTTCTCAGAGCTATAAAGCTACGAGCTTCTCCCTCGATCCTGAATCTTTCAACCCCACCCGTCAACCTTTTCACACTTGACATCACATCAGAACAATTTCACTCAACTACACCAACAAACACTGCCCTATCTAAATCAATCACCTCTTCTCTCAGAGACATTCACCATGATGAAGCTCATCGCTTTCCGTAAGTCCACCAACTCCACCACGCCCAACACCATGACCTCTCTCACCATCGTAGTCCTCTTCCTTCTTGGCCTTGTCAACGCTGGGGTTGTCCGCACTCCCGCTGACGCTGCCACCCTCACCACTGAGCCTACTAATCCTGTCGAGGCTCCCACTCCCGTCGCCACCCCCGACACCTTCATCGCCAAGGGTGAGAAGATGGCCTCTTGCGACATCCGGTGCACCTTCTGGTACCAGAAGTGCTACTACCGCCCCTGGGGCTACACCTGCGATGACAACGGTCTGTTCCGTCGTCGCGGATGGAACCCTGACTGTGAAAAGAACTGCTGGTGCAACTGTGATTCCAGGTAATCGTGACAAGATCACTGGGGTTGCATCCGAATCGGAATGATGAACGGACCAGGGCGAAGGTTGTTGGATACGAAAGGAAGAAATGGTGGTTGACTCGATGTTCACCCTATCTGTGGGCTCGAGAATAATGTTTTGTTTTTAGATGTAGTCGCTCTGTTGAGCTAGACTTTTGATCAGCGGTGGCTTAGGCCCGCTAGCTAGAGAAAATGTGAACTCCTTTCGTCCGAAACTTGATGCTAAACTGTAAGATGTTGCTTGTGACTGTGATTGTTGTGACGACGTAAAGGACCCAGTCTTCAGAAGCGAGCACTGCCGTTGAACCTCCCCTCATCTGAACCAATATGTAGCCCCCGACAAAGAGCTCTGGACTACAGGTGAGGAGGCCTGTAACATGGGTTGCAAAAGAAAAGTTCTCCAGAACTGCGATGTGTGTGTGAAGTAGTATTGTCCAATCTGGCCAGTGTTCACCACGGATCTCTGTTCTGGTCCATTCAACAGAGCATTCTATGACGAGTCACTAGTTCAACATGTGCTGGATCTGAGAGCCATTTATTCTTGCATGTTTCTATCCAACAGTCCTTTCTATTCTAATCCTTCGCAAAGAAAACACATATGCCCTCTTGACATCGATATCGCAAAAGATCAAGTACTTTTCGTTCAACCTCACTTCTCGGCATCGGCATCGCTCTGCGACGTACCCGGCACCGTCGTCATCGCATCGCTGAACACAGGACCAGGGTGGCTGATGCACAAGAAGAACACCGCAATAACAATAAGCCTGACCAGAGTTAGTAAGTATCATCAACAGAGGCACTTACAACTTACACTCCCTCGAGACCAATGAACAACCCCTCATCCGTGATGAGGTCTGAGTTTCGATACCCCTTGCTCAACTCATAGCATCGGAATGCACAACGCGCGAGAATGAGAACAACGGCAGCGCTTAGGAATCCGAAGAAGATTCTCATACGTCTCCCCATGGCACTGGCATTTCCACTACGAAAGTATCGCCAGAGATAGTCGCCGAGAAGAGCGCAGAAGAGAACGAGGATGACGACTTGGAGGGATAGACCGGCCAAGGCAATGTCGATACCGGTCTGGCTGGAGCCCTGGCTGACTGTTGATAGTGCGCCGCCTGCGGCTTGGAGGACGAGACAGACGACATCAGCGGGGATGAAGATCCACCAGACAAGTTGGGGTCTGAATCGGGAGACTTCTGGGGTAAAGTATTTAATCCTGCATTGTCAGTGAAGTCATGATATGCTGGGATGAGGGGCCTTACGTCTTGGAAAGCGTTACGTAAATAGCAGCTGTGTAGAAGACAGGGCCACTTGTGATAAACACAATCTGCACCATGAATCCCCCAAAGTTGAAGGGATTGTTATACATAATAATCCTTCCAATGTACCCGATAATCTCAAAAGACATCCGATCATCATGAAGCTCATGTAGAACCACTGCTTCCACTTGATGCCCAAAACGAGATGTGTCCCCATGGCGATGGCGTAGAGGACGATGAATGTGATGTTCGCGGCGAGCGAAGGTCGGTACTTGTAGACGCTCCATTCTACGGGACAGAGAGCGAGAGTGCAGTTTGCGTCGGGGCCAAAGACGACCAAGTTGTGTGGTGGTACTTGCGACATGATTGTTTTGTTGATGTTGAGAGGCAGAGGCGTAAGGTAGAGAGGGAGGTGAGGGGTGAAGAGGAGAGATAAGGTTGATGGAAGTCGGCCAGGAGGGGAATAGCCTTTTGGAGTCGGAGGATTGTTTTACTTTATACATCTCACCTCATCCATTCGACCCTGCACGTCAGTGGGACCTTGAGTAGTCAAATCAACTCAAATTGTCTCAACACCGCGTGTAATAGCCACCACCTCGAATGACTACCCAAATCCATCACCTCGCCAAGCGCTTCAGCCCTGCGACAAGCGAATCCGAACTCTCGACCAATCAAACTCCCCGAGCGCTATCAGATCCAGTAAATTGAGTCTCGGAAGCTAGGATGACACCCCTGTAGCGCTAAACCCTTTGGGGGAACGCTTTCGAGCTGTCTAAGTTGTTTTTGGGAAGGCCTTTCGAGGTGGGATGGTTGGTACGTCAGTTTAATGACGGCTTGATGTTGAAGGAATGCGAGTGCGAAGCAATTTTAGGCATGATAATGGTTATTTGGCTTGGATGAATCATCTGGAGTTTGAGAATGATTTGGTAAATAGCCTCTTTGAAGTTGAAGCTGGTGATGCGTGCGTGTATAACATGACTGCACCAACAAAAGCTTCATCAATGCACACTTTAACGGTGAGCACGTTTCATGGCGCATAAGATGGCAGTGGAGTGCTTTGTCTATCAGCACATCTACCGTAGTCATGTGCACTTCTCAGTGGATGCTATCCACAACCCCCAACTCCCATTACTCGTACATCAAACATCCCTTATTGGTCTCGGCCCCGAAAACAACGCTCCCCAGCCGCTGATCAACGATTCACGGTTTCATAAACGTAGTATTAGCCAAGACCTATCTTACCGTTACCTTTAACTTTACCCCATATGGGGTCGTCGTCATCTGTAAACGAATTTCCATCTTTTAAGCATAATCCTTTGAAGGATCAGCCCGGTTCGAAGTTATCCCGCTTGACGCTTTTAGCTCCCGAGCTTGGTGCGACATTGACAACAAGGCCTCCCCAGCAAGAAAACTCAGGACCTCAATCTCAAGTAACAAAAAGACTTAAACAACTCAGTGCAATTTAGCGATGAATTCAGTATACATTTAGGATAGTCTTTGCCACTTTTATTTTGAGACCTTCTGACAAGGCATGGGCCAGGGACTAGACTTCGGCTTGTGGACTACTCTTCTATTCATAGATAGGTATCGCTGTCTCTTCTACTGATAAACCTCTAGCCAGGATTATAAATGAACTTAGCACTTTTAGATCGAGATGTGTGTGCAAGTATATTGAAGGGTATCTATACTTATGAACTCCCACTGTATAATTACCAGATATCAACACCAACACCAACACCAACACCAACAGGTATCAAAATACCCATAACCAGATACTAACACCAATATACGTCGACACACACATAACCATAAGGGGCCTCCACTTCCAACAGGGATGATATCACCGGTCCTTTGACAATATAGAAACAATAATTTTAGATCGTTGTATGGATAAACTTTAAAGAGTTATGATAAGCTTAGAGTAGACTTGTTAAAATTGGTCGTCTGTCAAGACTCGAGGGCAAGAGCAGTATACCAAGAGGTTACTCCAGTGTCAAAGACTGAGACTGATGATTTAGTCTGATTGGGTAAGGTCTGGTGCCTTCAGTGCATGTGATATAGAGACTGGATGCAACTACACGCTACACAATCTTTCCCCTACCACCAGGGGGGGCATTAGGCTGTGGGTGGTGATGAGTAGGGTGTATGGGCCTATCGATGTGATCTGACTTTAAACTCAGTAATATTATCAATAGGCCCCTCCTTAGTGGTATTATCAGTATCAATACCAGTATCTTTAATAGTATCTTTAGCATATAACTGACTCCGGAGTATCTTCCAGTAAGCTTAGATATTGTCCTTTGTCTTGCAGAGAGATCCTGAGATGAAGGCACAGATCTCGCCGGCCTCCTTCATGCTGCGAAGGTGGCAGTCCTCTGAAAGAGACCAGGGCTGTTGGCTCGATTTTTGACTCAACATCATCTAGCGAGACTTCCGGGAGGTCTTTGAACTCTTATAGTGACTATATTGAATGTGAAAAGCTGCTGCCAAGTAGTTCATGGCGGTGCCTGATGGCCCACCCCTGTCATTCCCTTGACACATGGGAATGATGTCTCGCTCGAAGTCACGGGAGGCTGCAGACCGACGACCTTGGTACACAGAGAATTGCCGGAGTTCATTGCAGCGAGCATCGGATTTCTTGTGTTCTGTGATAGGGTTGAGGGGTCAAAAGAGTCTTCAGCCTCAAGGCCACAAAGGTAAAGAACACCAAATTTCTTCTGCTTGATTTCCCACGCTTCTGCATTCTCACAGTACCGTGACGATAAAACCTCGGCACAGGACCAAGCCTCAACACGGTGATCGAACTTTGTAGATTTGGTTGTGTCAATGATATAATAACTTGGTACTTTGGCTGTCATCGCTTCGATGTAGCGAACCGTGGCTTTGCAAGCATAACAGCAGCCGCTGGGCTTGAACCGGTCTATGTATATACTAGAGGGCAGGCCTATATGCTCCAATGCATCCCTCGGAGCTCCATGCGACTCAAGAAGTCACCAAAGCGACAAGCTAAGATTGCTTACTTGATGCTTCTAGCATACGGATCGAAGAAACGGAATTCTCTCAAGTCAGGTTATTTGGAGGATGGGATAGAGAGCACAGAGGCACAGCGTGCTCTTCGCACGCGTCTTCAGTGACGGGGAGGCCCAAGGCTGGGAGACTCTGCCAAATTGATCGAGTCGTCCTTGGGAGTGATTCCAGTACTCTTGCTCGGTCATGCCCACGTGTGTGTTTCTTGTGGCGAGTCGAGTTGCGAGCATCGAACCCAATATATTGAGTCTTTGCATCCGTGATGACATCGCACAGCCCGAAAAACGTCGTTTTTGTATATAAACCAAGGCCAATCAGGTCCCCAGTGTTGCCAAGAGGAATCATGAGTTGCTCCCAGACCACGAGTGTTGAAGGGGCAGCATTGGTCAGCTTATTCTGTCAAAAGAGTGGCAAGGACTGTGATGCCTCAGAGAGCAAACTCAAGGCCGGGAGAGTTGGCGACGTCTGCCTTGTTGGTGCCGTTATCGTTACCGTCTTCGTTGTCTCCGCCGTCCTCATCGAAGGTAAAGGCAGTCAATTTGCCGCTGAACCTGGCGGCTGAAACCTGAAACGTGATCGAGTTCTTAGAGTCTGATCCCGAGCCGGACAATTTGTGGAACCAGTTGACAAATAGTTCAGCTCTAGTAGTGAGCTTTGCAAGAGTCTCGCTAAAAGCTTCAAGCTGGTCCATCTGCTTCTGCTTCTCCGGGTTGCCTCGGAAGAGCGATGACTCCTCGTCGTCTGCATTGGGTTGATCCGTAGATGACCCATCCCTCACCGATTCCTTGGCCTGGGTGCAGGCATTGGCTACTTTGTTTTCCTTCGCAACGTTCAGGTTACGTACGCCCTTGTGCCGGTTGTTGTTCACAGTGGGTTGACATGGAAATCTTGGGCTTATATAATATATCTGTGATGGCGGTGTTATCATCTGATAATATTTATATATATATGTATGTATATATTGATCCTCTTTGGAAGGCTCCTGTATATGTCGTGGAAGCCATACTCTGGTGGTCAAGCAGACAGTTAGGTTGACAAGTGTTGTGACAGAAGGCAAACGCGGCTTATAACTGAAGCCAACGAATTCGATCAAAGGCTGATAGGCTTTTGGAGTATGTAAAGAGAGCGAGAAGCCAAGGTTAAAGGGATTGTAGGAAATAAGATGCTATAACTGCCTCGCAGTTGAGACTTTCTATACAGAAATAGCGACTGCCCCCAATGCCAGCAGAAAATGTATGTGTTCTGCCTTGCCACACCGACCGTAACATATCCGATTGTTTATCATGCTGAGAATACCAGTGAAGGCCATTCAACATAGTTGCCAACGTTGTGGAGATGTTGCTGAAGTTTCTACCATCCAAGTGGTGAGATGGTGATAGGGATTGATATGCTTAGGAGAGTAGCTGGCATGTTTTATTTCAAGTGACTGAGTGGGAACATGACCATGGCTCATCACAGTGTTCGAATCTTGTGCTGTCGATAATTATTTTAGTCGTCGCTTCGACCTTCAGTCATGGACTCCATGTAGGTGATGGAGGGTTGGGTAACCATAGCAGCAGCCACTGGACTTGCTGGGACCTGGGAGCACATAGAAGGGTAGGTAGGCCGAGGTAATTCTCGAACCCCCTCAGAGCTGCAGGGCTGGCATCAAGGGACAGAAGAGTGGTCTCCGTGTGCACCAAACCTCCTTGGTTGAGGGTCTTTAACAGAGCAATACGGTGTCCAAGAAACCCCCGTATGACTTCCGTGGCTGTGAATGTGTAGGCCCACGAGAGAGTGTATATATAGTTATAGTAGAAGTGAAAGTTGACAGAAGAAGTAAAAGAGGTTGGGAGGAAGAAGACTGCAATTTATAGTGGAAGTTGGGACCTGCTTACTCACCCTTCTTCATAAATTCTTTCCATTCACACACAGCCAAGCTTCATCACAATGTTTGAAGTGGTTCCGTTGCTAGCAATTCTTGTCAACAATACAGCCTGCTTTATGCAAAACATGAGAAGGTTTGTTTGGATGGTTTGTATTGCAAGCAGGCTGCATTGCCTTCGATGTTGCAAGTCATCAAACCTTGGTACCTTCGTGCTATCAGGGAGAATGGAATGGACAAAGCCTTTGTTACGGTTTTGGAGCAAAAGGTATTGGGAAACTTGCCTCTTCAGGAAATGGGCCCGCTTTGTTGGAAGATAACATTTGAAATAGGAATCAAAGGCCAATCGTCTTTGCGGCTATCAACAAACAATAAGCAACATGTTTACTTCTCCGACAACTGGCAACGTGGAGGCTGAAGAGGTCAAACTCGCTTGCTAGTATCAGCAAGCTGGGAAGCACTCGAAAATCTCCCTTCATGCCATATCATCTCTTCCATGATTGTGACTCTTTGTTCTGCTGTTCTGTGAATATGACCACCGTCTACTGTCGGCGATTTTCCCATGAACCAAATCAGGAAGAGCATCTAACTGAAGACTATCATGAGTAGAGATCTAGACAACTTGGGATGGATTCAGAATAGAGTAACCCTTGCGAATCATAAGTCTGCTATTCCCGACCGAAACAAGCCTTGCGCGTAGGTAACTACCGACAACATCTTCTACCCATCCATCCCCTACCTTGATCCATTCTCCAAACATTGACTGACCATCACCGCCGCCATTCTTCAGAACTATCAATATGGCGCCACCTATATAGATCTAGGTCAGCGGTTCGTATATGCTAAGGAAACCTCGATTTATGGTAAATTATGGCCTTTCATCGTACTGACAATCGATAAAAATGATGAATATGTGCCATGAACCGCAGATGAAAGTTGCTCAAGGTTTCAATATCTGCCTCTAGGATGAAAATTAAGGTAGCAGATCCTTTTGACTTCGACGTGTCCTACACACGGAGTGTAACTGTATGTACACTGTCAATGAGCCTCATCAGCTACCATTGCCTCCTATCAGTGACATCACATGCGGCTGATCAAGAGGGAAGCGCCGGGACAAATAATATACAAGTTAGTAAACAACAAACAGGTCAACAAGCCACAAGCAAGTCAACAAAAGACAGACAAGCGAACAAGCAATTAGGGAGTGAATGAAAACACGGAGATGTCACCAATCAATCCCTTGAACTTCGCCCTGCAAGCATTGATCGACCAACGTAGCCTTGATTTCACCTTTATTTCCATTGTACGCCTAGATTCCTGGCCGGAGTTCAACACAATCCGTACAGCGGCACGAAATAACCACATCGGTGCAGCAAATATTGTAGCTTGGCGAGAGTTTTACCAGAATCTCCAGAAGTTAGATGACGAGGCTAATGAGGCTGGCCTGGAGACACGTGTTGTTCGAGAGGCCGTTTCCAAGTTCACCCTTGAGGGCACTGCAATCCCTGACATAATTTCGGCGCTCCCAGCTTTGGAAGAACTGCTAAACCCTCTCCGAGCAGTTGGTAATCATGTTGGATGTGCTGTCAGGGACAAGAATATGATCATATCCGTGCCATGTTGCTATGGATGTAAGATATCCCTTGGATATGATGAAGGCATGACAGCCGAAGAACTAGAGAAGAATATTGTTGAAGAAAGCAAGGAGTTTAAAATTTGGAAACGCATACACAATCCGCATTCTTGTGCTGAGATAGTAGCTTCCCATTATTGCGTTATGGAAAGGCTTAATGGAGAAGAGTCCCAAGTTGCGGATACCGTCCCTCCTGGGGACCCCTCTTCAAGACCTGAAAATACGTAGGTTTGAGCAGGTGACATTAGATGATCCGCCCTAGAAGATGAAGTGGTTTGCGACTTTTTGCGTGATCCTATCTTGGCTAGGTAGAGACTCCCATACTAATGGCTTGCTGTACCTCTGAAAATATGCTTGTGCCATGTTTGACGGTGAGGCCTTTCCCTTTTTACTTCCTGGGTGTCCTGAAGCTGTCGTCAAAGTTGAGTTATTCTCTCCTTTTTGAGAAGTATGTTCTCTAAACCTTCGATGTCCTGGAAGAATCTTATGCCCTTGCTCCTGGATACCCTGTCGGAGGCCAATCCCAGCGGAGAGACCTCCCCCTGATGGTAATTGGCCATCTACTTGCTGAGTTTCGGTACTCTGACCTCTTGATCTGCGAGTAGCATACGCAGGACGTAAATACAATACTAGAGCATCTAGCTTTACACTCGTGGTAAAAACCCTCAGCAGCCGAATCCAGACATTTTCCAACATCCTCCAGCCATGAGTCCTTTGTCCACCAACCCCTTCTGCCTCAGATGTCAATCTCATTCGGCTCACATACAGGCATAAGCGCAGGTCCATCCAGCCCGTAAACCCACATCTTTGCATTGACGATCTGGGGCTCGTTAGACAGGAGAACCTCAAAATCAAACTGGCGCTTATAGGATCCTAGCTCCAGGATGCTATCGGCAATCTTGGCAATAGAGAAAGAAGAATCACTCTTCGGGTGGGGATGCACGGGCTTGTAGTGCTTGAGGATGAATCCTCGCTTGTGGGTTGTCTTTTTGTTCGCCTTCGGCTTTCGGCTTTCGATAAGGTCATTCTCAATCCTCTCTAGTTGAGGTACCACGTCGGGATGGCGGAGCGCATAGACTTTACCAAGCTCGCCTTTGGGGCTGAGTCGCACCACCACTGCAAAGCCGGTCGGGTTCCATCGTTCCCCGTTTGTCGTCATTGGGATTTCCGTGACGAGCTTTCTTCCAGTCCCCAGTAAAAGTCCAGAGCAATCCTAACTGAGCGAAGACGAAATCCTGAAGACCAGAGTCGAATGTATTTGCGTGCATATCTCCCGTTGCAGAGGGGATTGTGGCCATGAGGTGGCCTCCTTTTCTATGGATAGCGTTGAAAGACGAGGGGCTATTGCTGAAGCCCAAGCGTACGCCCAACAGTGTTTGGAGATCGACAATGGACGCAGCAGAGTCAGGCGTGTTATCTCGGGTGATGTCGCAGCTCTCTACCCAGAGAGGAGAGTGCGGTTGACTGGTAGTGGATCTTGGAAATGAGGGTGAAAGTTCTGTGCTTACAGACGAGTTTGAATCACTATCGGTGTCGAATGAGCCAACAGAAGATTCCGGAGACAAAAGGGGGGAGTGCGGAAGAGGAAAGTTCAAAGCGAGTATCATGTTTCCCAAGACATCGGAATCAGAGTCAGGGTACTTTGGCTCAAGGGAGTCGGTCATGGGCGTGAAAGCATAACCGCTGAACACATGTCCAAAGTTTGTCTCGCCAATGGCAACAAAAGGATTCTGATAGATAGAGATATTGAGAGAAAGCGTATCGACTTTGTCCATATCTAGAAAGTCGGTTTGAGAGATCATCTCAATATAGTCTTCAGTGTTCATAATATACTTTTTTCTGACGAAAATACGTCCGTTCCAGGTGTGTGACCATTCCAGGTATTTTCTGCGGTCGTCAGGGTCTGGCCATGCGTGTTTGATGAGCTTGCTATGGGCATCCCACTCAGCGTCCCGGCTTTGGGTGTCGAGAATCTTTTCGCTATTCCTTTCCCCCCAGTCATGAAATCCCCATTCTTGAGGGGACCAGCTAGCCATGATCTCCTCGTCGCTTTCGGGGATCGGCATCGTGGCTGGTTGTCAAGATATGACGGACTCTGTTTAGTGAGGACTGGGAACTCGGCCTATCTGAGAGATGAGGTCTATTGTAGACAACGCCACAGTTCTTATGCCTCAATAGAAGGCAGTGCGGCTCCGTGAGAAAGTGAGGTTGGCAAAATATGGTTCAGATTACTCAGAGTCGTCTGATGTATAAGGGCAATTCACTCTTATGCAGCAAAAGAATAACGTCAAGACCATGCAAGGGGAGGAAAGAAAGTAAAATGCAAGAACTGAGTGCCGTTTTGTAAGAGATGGTTGTGTGAGGCAGAGAAGAGAGGAGAGTTGCGATGTTGAGGGAAGGTTAAGAATAACATAGCAGTGGAGTGGGGAGCCACTGAGAGTACAAGCCCGAGCTTTGTGTAACGCGCAAAGCCTCACTACCTATACCAGTGGCTCATCGCCGTCTGCTTGGCACCGGCAGATGTTGCACTAGGTAGACTGGGAAGGCAACTCTCAGAATGAAGGGAGCTGGTACCGAGGACAGGCGTAGCAAGCAGATGACAGGGAATTCCAAACTATACTCTGTAGTTATTTCCCATCTAGAAAGCCACCCAACTCTTCTGTTCTAACTAATTTTCTTTTAAACTGTCACAATTTTGCATTTGTTCAGCGCCCGCAGCAGAGCAGTGTACACGCACGATCTGTGGGCCTACAGAGATCTGACGGACACCACCTGCACAACGAGGTTCAGTACCAGGGAATATGCCACCATCATCTCCTTCATCAATGGTTCCTCGCCACTGTTATTATCCAAAGACCGAATAATAATCCACTCCTCCGAGCCTGTATTGAGTTCTTCGAATCCGATTCCTTCTCCGTATATGAACCCCCCCTCGCTTGCGGGAGCTCTCCTGTTGCACCATCAGAAGACGCACCTAGCGAGGTCTCCAGACTATCAAGGACATGGATCATCAGAATCCTCAATGACTCTGGAAACACCATGTTGCCTATTATTTATAGGGAGTTCCAAAGCCAACATACCGTTATTCCTGTTGCGAAGTTGATTGATGTAACAGGAAAACAGACCTCGAGCCTTCGAGATCTTGGCCATTGAGGATAACAATGTCTATGTGCTTCTGTGGACGTAAACTTCATTTGCGATACTAATCAAACCTCGCTATCTCGACACCACTTTGACCCTACCATTACCAGATACCAACACCAACATGTGTCAACACACAGCTTTTGGCGTGACAGGTCGAGAGACAAGTTTTCTCACATCTTTTGCTTTACAGCGGTAACACAAGTGTTGCCCGCCCCCTCCATTTCGGGTGACACAAAGACACCGAATGGTATCGAGGAGCCTGAAGAAGTCAAACGACTCGGGAGCTTTGGCAAAATGGGAAGCAATTCGGGGCCAAATATCCCCGCCGGACCCATCGTCCGCCTTTTATCATCTTTTGCCAATTTCACTTAACTTTCCTGTATTTAACAAAGCGTCGCGCAGTTGAACGGAATTTCTCTGACTCATCAACATTTTGCCCGTCAGCTGCCTTTCATCGGATACGTTTACCATCAACTGTCGCCCGATGCAAGTGGTGTTCCACATTCATTCACACCATGTCCCGCTAATCACACGCGCAAATACAACAATCACAGTTGTCTCGGCCAACCAAACATTCAATACCATTTTCAGGCTGACAATCACCACCGACCGAGTCAAGTGATTGTGTAACAGGCATCAGCCAAGTTGTGTAGCAGGTTCATGTGTGGCGCACGCCACGCAGACAATGTGCATTATTGTGAAGCTTTGGTTGCTCGTCGCATACCGAGTTGAACGGCTCACTGTACGATTCATATACAATCAACCCATCAATTGTCCTCCCAGAGGCGCAATTATCATGCATGGAACTCGTCTGGATCGGCATGGCACCTTCAGCACCTGGGTTGGACCTGTTAACGTGCTTGGCGTTTCGCAGCTTACGGACTCTAGCAGCTTCCTCACGTCTTTTCACCCAGACATATCAAGAAGCACCCGTGCCTCACAATGATGGCCAGCTGGACGTAATGACTGGTGAATCACTTTCAGCTCAAGACTCTTGTGTCTCTGTGAAGATATACTCACGAACAACTCGACGTCTTGCATACACTGCCTCTGCTTTGGACCTGATTCATCGCCAAGAGATGTAGTTGATCATGCCCGGATCTCTGTCTCTCAATAGCATAAATAAACACCCCCATCGTCTCTCGAACTTGTTCCTGTCAACCAGCCGTCCATCATTCTCCCCAGTTCGTTTTTCAGACTCGTCCTCATGTCCAACTCAAGCCGGGTTCACTGTAGGACTATTGAGGACGTCCCGCTGCCATATCCCGCTTCCAAACTGATCATTACCCAACACCTTGAAGCTTCACGAGAATCACCTTTCTGGGCGTGGATCATTGTTGGGGCATTCTACGACAGACAAGACAACATCCTCTGGAGCGCTGAGATCTTTGCTGGTCGACTTGACATCGATTCGGACTCTGAAGACGAATCTAGTGATACTGAGTCTGTGGCGGAGAGTTACACCGAGGAGGCAGCTTCTTCAGGTAAACACTGATCCCTTGAAGATTTACTGCAGACATTCATGCGCGGAATGATCTATATGAAGCCCTGTGTCTTCCGTATTTCTGACTCCTCAGATATCTTCTCTTCCTTCCAAGAACAATCTTTTCATCACAACCAAACTTTGAACTATCAAGCACCCCCAGTCCACCAAGTCTTTCCATATTGGAATCAATCTCCGCCATACGCTATCCCACCGACTTGGGATCCAGCTACCCAAGGTCAAGTTCCCGGCTTCTGGCAAGCATCTTTCGATCCGAACGTTCGTCGCTGGGTTCATACCTGGCAACCTCTCTGACTCCCCTCCCCTCCCATACCACGATCAACCACCATGTCTGGTTGGAACCCCATCAACGGTCGTGATGCCACAGGCTCACGACCAAACTACTCACCCATTGGTGCACCGATCCCATCGCAGGGTCAGCCGTACGTTCCTTATCTTGGTGGTCCCGGGTATAACTTTGGTCTAGCTCCCCCCGCGTATGGCTATATGTATCCCGGCACAGCTGCATATGGCCAGCCCGTTTACGGATTCCCACCCCAGGGACCGATTGCTGGGTTTCAGACCCAGCAGACTTATGCGCACCAGCCCAACGGGACTGGTAACATTCTTCCTCGCCAGGCGCAGTCCATTCCTCAGATTGATCCGAAGATGCCTGCTGCGCAGATGACCAACTCTTCTGGTGGTGTTGGTTGTGAGCCCGGGTACAATTACTTCTTCCCGGCGAACCATACCAAGGTTCATGTGTTCAAGAGCGATACTCCTCCGTGGCAGCTGCAGGCGAACGCCCAGATTCCCTTCATCGCCTCGCACGTTCCGACATCGACGAAACTGGGCGATCTCCTGAAGGGATTTGGCTGCACCAATCCCTCGGCGAAGAAGAACATCTGCTTCGAGCTCTACAGCGGAGGGAATGGCAAGTGGTACAAGGGATACTCATTCACTGGTGATGACAAGGATGAGATCGGAAAGACCATGGATGAGGTCGGTTGGGACTCTTCTAGGACTGGAAACAAGGGAGAGAAGCCTGTTGTCTGTCTCTGGTTCTGCAAGAGCTGATTTTGCCTGATGGTAAAAATGATGATTTGGGACAAGGTAGCTGCTGGTTATTGTTTCTGTTACTGTTGTTCTCTGCTGCTGGAACGTTAGGTACTCATCTTTGAGCATTGGAGTTTATGGTTCATGTCGCTGGCTTAGTTACTAGCTACGCAGATCAATTGAGACGTCTGAATTTTTCCCATGATAATTTCTTCATCAATCTCGGATTGTGATGTTGTAGATCCAGGAAACTCTCTGGTTACGCCAAGATGCTGATCGGATGTCGTGACGCTAGGACCCCTGTACTAACGTTAGAGGTTTTGGTTGCATGATCTGCACGAGGTACCAAGTCTATTTCAACGCCGTGTGCGATGTCACACAAAATAAACTGTCCGATAAGAATGTAATGGAATCACAAAATGGGCGGCCAGCTTCGGCCAAAAGCAAGACGAGTTAACGTTGCATGACTCCATCATGGGGCATAGCCTCACGTTCTCAGGTACCACAATACCAACGACTCTCATTGTACTATTGCATTACGGCTTCCTCCCGTAAATAGAGTAACTAAACTTCGGTTAGTCCTGAAATGTAACAATATGCCCAGAGGGTTCAACTCACATCGGCCAGTAGGCATGGATCTTCCTGTCCCCCATAGTCTTCCTCACATCCATCAGAAACACAGTAGTGTCCTCCACACTCCACCCATGACCCCTCGTCAACGCCGCCATGGTGATAGCTTCAAGCCCACTCGAAAAGTTCTCATAGCACCAAGTCCCCAGCTCCTTATACTTCTTATCCTTCGGCCACGAGTTGCTCGGCCACCTGAATCTCTCGATCTTGACATCCACGAACCCAATCTCCGTCATGACGTCTACTAGCGCTGGGATATCTATATACGGACGGCCGAACCGCTCTGATGCCTCTTGGAGAAGCTTGAGACACTTGAGGAGTGCGTTATCAGGCTTCACAGTGTCGTCGTCGGATTTGATAGTGAGATCTGCTTCTTGGAGCTCGAGATAGCCGTTGGGGGTTAAATTTCTGAGATTTGGTCAGACGGGATGTTGTTGGGGTGTGAAAGGAGGTGTACTGGAAGCATTGGGTGAGGTATTTTTTCCAGTCGCTTATGCAAGATGTCATGAAGCGGCTGTGGATGTAGTCAAATGGTTTTGAGTAGGTCCACTCGTCTTCGATATCGTCAATCTCAAAGGCCACGTTAGGAGGGATGCTGAACAATGTGTGTTAGGTCGCCTATACATGAGCACTGGCACGGATGAAAACTAACAAGCTTGGTTGAATCGGTGAGAGGTCGACGCCGATGACCTAAACCGTCAGTTCCTCCAAATCGATGGAGAGGTAGGTCCGAACTGAACGTACCTCTGCTTC